TGGAGTAGATGATCTCCAGAGGTCCCTTCCAACCTCAACCATTCTGTGATTTGCACAGGTCTGCCCTTGATTTGTGGAAGGAAAAAGCTGAACACTTCACAACTACTCTTCATTTCCAAGACTTAATCTGAAGTCTGGCTTCCCAATGTTTCCAGTTTTGAAGTGATCCAAATAACCCCCCAAAACCACACCTGAAGCATCACCCATAATTACAGCTGATAGTTGAGAGAGACCAAAGTGGATTCCTTCCACAGGCTTTCAGGGCACTCTCCCTCCCAATACAGGCCTTACAGCACCATGAGACATGGCCAGCAGAAACTCAGACTTGTCCTGCAAGGGCTGATGCTCAGGTCTGAATCAGCTTTGACAGGCTTTTATCTTAAAAGCTAGTCAAAAGTATCAGGAGTATACTGAATGCTGCAAGCCTCAGGAAGAATTATATACTGCTGAAGCTTCAGAGAAACTAAAGACATCAGAACTTCTTCAAACCTGCCAGAAAGTAAGTGGACAGCTGACTGGGAACAGCTTCAGCCCCTGCTCCAGCTGGAAAAAACAGGTGGCAATTCAACTAGTTCTGTTGCCCTGAATAATAATCCATAGGCAATTATCCTAGCTTTCTTGCTAGGTCCCACCCAGTACTTCTGCAAAGGGGACTGAGACCCGGCTGGAGTAAATGCAATTTGATTAGTCTAATTGCACTTTGGCAAGTTTCAGCTGAGCTTGTCCCAGCTAGCCAGTAGGGACTACAATCGTTACATCAGGCTAGAGAATTTTAGGATATGCTTTAGTCCCTGAGCTCTGTTTATAACAGCTGAATACATCCCTCATAGAGGTAAGAAGCACACTATAGACACAAGCACTATGTGTTATATGAACCTATAAACATTAGCAGAAGGTATTATAAGTGGTAACAAGAAAATGAGATAAGATACCTATGGTTTACTAAGGTGTATACATTAATTTAATATTTGTTAAAACATCAATTAATTTCATTTCTAATCAGCAGATGGAGTTTCTGGGAGTACTGTCTAAGTTTATCATATATCTCACATCATATATCTCCCCATAAATCTTGTCTCAATTAAATTCTTAGACCAGTATTGTTACAATGTTTTTATTTACTCTCTATACATTATTTATAAACTGAACTTAAATGTAAAGTGATCAAGCATTATATTCTGCCAGGTTATTAACTTAGACAATTCTCATACCCTAATTTTGGACTCCATGCACACTCATATGATTAGCAGAACTTCAGTTTATATGCTGCCTCCTGAGGAAAGGATCGTACCCTCAAGCAGGAAAGAAAACACATATATCTATCTCACATTGCATCACACGCATCTTTTTGAGCCCACACATTAAGAAGCTGAAATCTAGAACGCTCCCAGCCACAGTTACATGCTGGGACCCATAGACAGCAGGTGTGTTCCATCTCCACAGCCCCACCGTTTGCATCCACATGTTACAGGAGTAAATGTCTATCTTATACCAAACACATTAAATAGTTGGATGTGACCAGATGCAAAAGCCTCAGTTCAAAATCACCCTCAAATCACAAGCCATACCTGCCAATCAACCATGCATCTGCCAGTGCTTAATCTTATTTTTAAAAGGAGAAACCTGCATTTTAAGACATACTTGCTCTTTAAATAACTCCATGCAGGAAAGGTTTTTTTAAACAACTCTTATGAGGAAGTTTCCTTCGTATACCAAAGCTAATTGAAGGAGCCTTAAGGTTTGAGGTTTTTTAACCAGTCATCCACTTATTTATGAGATTCATGTAAGAACACGACATGACACTCACCTAATATTTGTAACTGCCTTACACATATATTCACAAATAAACCATATCAGTGAGTGATTTTAAACCAAAATATTATATTATCAGAATAAATTCATATCACAGTCATGTTACCTCTGCTATTTGATGTCAAAATATTTATTTGAAATGTTTACAACAACATTTATGTAGAAACACTAAAAGCTCCCCAAATCTTGAAATGAAAAGGGAAACCCCAAGCTCCCAATATGTAAGGCAGGGACACGTTTCCACTAGATTCATAAACAGTACGATAAGCTTTTAACAGAATGATGAATTTTGTGATTCATTTCCTAAAGCAAACTCTAAGGAACTTTCACAGGGAATGACAATTCTTTTACCTCACAAGAAGAACAGAACAAAGCTCCCCATACTATCACTATCCCATCTTCCTTCATCTTATGAAAGAAGCATACAAGGACACGTGTTGACAAGCCCATTTTGGGAAAGGTCCCTTGAAGCACTGGAACACTATCTGCCTCCTTTAGGGAGGCTTATAAAGAAAAGGCATTTTAACCCCTTTGCAATTTTACAGCAATTGTACCTGCTAGACTGTATCATAAGTTGCTGGGGAAGGAAAACATTGCCAGATGTTCATCAAGTGTGGCTGCTCATCTCCATCCCTCTCCATTCACCTTGTTTCCTTATGGATTTACTTTAACACATCATAATGCTGTAGAGTCAAACTTCTGTTACAAGTGCACCTCCTCAGGCATTTCTTAGCTCAATCTGTAAAGTCAAACAAGCCATTTTCTTTCGAACATATTTGCCTCCTTCATGATCCACACAGTGACAGCCAGCCTAATTTAATAAAGAGGCAAATTGCAAAGAGGAAGCACATCCAGCCCTGCATGAAAACAATAGTCACCACTGAGAAATATACAGCAAGAAATAAACCAAGGGAATGAGGAAATGTTTTTGGCACATAAAATACACTAAAACTAGTTAGGGCAGCAAACTCTTGAGAGCAGCAGGTCGCCTGTTTTGCTTAGGCCAGAAAGGATAGGATGGGATGCTCCAAGATGCCGCAGCCCAGCCAGCCAACGCCCCCTTGCTCCGATTGTTCCTGCTGTATCGGGAAAAGACTTGGGGAATGCAAAGCAGCAGAAGGCAGAAGCAGTTGGGGTCCCCCCTTTTTCCCTTTCCCAGAAGCTCAGCAAATGTAGGGTGGGCCACAACACAGATATTACCAAAAGTTGTATGTTAAAGTACACATTTGGAAATATTAAAATATTAACATTTTAAGGACGAGTTACAGAAATAGCGAAATAACAGTTCATAGTTAACTGTTTTTCATGAAGTGGGTCTTATAGCAAGTGAATGGCACAGGGAGGCTGTATGTAAGACATGGCTACTTCTTTCTAAACTCGAACTATTCAGCCATGCTGCTTCCATTTCATGGACCCACACTCATTATACGATTTGAAATTTCCAAGCATAGGGGTTCCATCAGAGACTCTAAGAATGTCTTCTGCTCTCCACTGACAGAATTCTGAAATATTAATCAAAAAAATACAGCTCTAATATATTCTCTTTCCTGATCCAGATTAAATTACAAGTAGCTGTTCGACACTGAAATTTAACTTTGATATAGCATATTGTTAGGCCAAATATTTCACAAGGTTTTAGTGCTGTATCATGTGCAGTAGAATTCACGGTGATGCAATCAGTTTGTAATGACTAGGGTTACAAAGTACACATAACATTATGCAGATATATAAATAATGTATCATTTCCTGAACTCGATTCTGACATACAATTTCACTGACACAAGTCCAAAGAGAGCTGTGGTGTTAGTTTCCTCATTTTACATATAGAAACACATAAGAAATACAGCACTGTATGCAGCATGTGAGGGTCAAATTCCACCTATTAGAAATTTTCCAGAAACTCATTATATTAACCAGATCAAGCCAAAAATGACACATTGCACTGTAAATTAGACTGTACCTATAAACACTGGATCCAGAGATACTGACATTGTTGACGGAAGTCAGTACTTCTGTTCATAGTTTTTCATAGTCATCTCTCAGAAAATAATTTCTAAGCCAAGTATCAAACTTGTTTTGTGATTTTTTTAATATAATTTCTCTATTATAAAATGTATCATTTAACCAGATCAGCTAATTATCTTTCAACTCTTAATGCCTGAACTTTAGTAACTTACAAACTGTAGTGATTCTCCTAAAATGAAGTTCAAAGCCTAAATTATATAAAAAGGAGGTATAGGGGAATCTTTTCCTTCCAACAGCAAGAAAAATGTTTTTATGATGCATTAACAAGGCAGTAATGATTACAAGAGATCTGTCAAGTAAGATAAGTTGTAACTGTCTCCATGATTCCCTATACTTCATTTAAGTACATGAGGTAAAGACCTTCTGCGGTAACTCTTAATTCACCATGACCCTGTTTGCCAGTCTAACCTCAGCTGCCTAACCTACTCCACATACATGTACAGAGAGCCAATATGACCACATCACACTCGTTAAGTGATCCGAGTACACGACTAGATTATGATAACCCTCCTGACATGGAACTGCACTTTCAGACAGTGGAATTTAACGCGGAGCACTACAGCTACAAACACAGAACAGGAAGGGGCCCATGGGTCTCAAACATAGTTCCCTGCACTCTCCATACTACTATACAAGTCAATGTTTTTGAAAAACTGAATGGTATTTTACATAGCTAATCACCTGGGCATATGAGTATTTCCCCAGTTTTAAAAAAAAAAAAGTCTCTCAGAAAGAGCTACTGTTTCATATTCAAACGTGCTGAGCACTCCTAACCCCACAGTGTAACCTCACCATGCTTGTGGATGTCACACTGTGAACGTCACAGAAAACAGAATACAGAAAGGATAATTATCCTTCTATTTTCTGATTCTCCTCTACAGCTAGAATGACTTCCTTGCTTTTAAATTAGTAAAATATGGTCCTTGTGAGGAAAGGACTTCATTTTCGATTTTGCTTTTTCCTCACACTAAATATTAAATAGTTCATGGGTGCAACTCAGGTCATTAGTGCCTTCTTTGGCAGAAGAGGAGAAAGCCATCAGCTCTTTGTAGAGAGAAACTCATCATAGATCCTGGAAGACGTGCACAAAAAAAAAAAGAAGAAGAAGAAGAAGAATTCTTTCTTTAGTGATTTTAGAGCACAATTTAAAAAAATCAACTCACTTGTAAATGTTGAGAGTTGTCCGTCATATTGTCCTCTCGTCTACGAACTTCTTCCAACAACTGTGCATTCTTCTTTTTCTCCATTTGCTGATTGTGCTTCAGATTGGCAACCTTCTTGTTTTGGTCCTTCATGTGTCTAAGAATTGTAGGCACATATCCATTAGTGCTAATAAGTGCAACCACAGCTGTTTCTCTATAAAGTAACTTGTGACTATGACACAAATCATTGATCCACCAACAGATGTAAGCATTCTGAATATCAGATTAAAATCATAAAACTTCCATCTTGGTTTCAAACTGGCATATCAAAATGGGATTGATGTCATAAGATTATACAATGGTGAAACAAGTACTCTGACCTACAGGCTTTCTTTCCTTTTTCATCATTTGTTCATACATGTACAGCACCATGCAGAAAAACTGTTGTCCTGACAGAGGGCAATTACCCTACAGTCCTTACACAAGCAGTGATTTCAGGGCCAACTTCAATGGGCTCTTTTACGGGTCAATTCATTTCAAAGGAAGCAGAAAGTGAAGGTGAATGACTGATATATGATGTGAATTTTTATTTTTGTAAAGCTGGCATAGACATATAATGTTTCTGAGGATTATACTGTAATAGAGTAGAGGGTCAGAACATAAATATGCCATGAAAAATACAAGAGGCCTTTAAAAATAGCTTCTTACATAACAAAAACATAACATTTGTATCTTTTTCAATTAAGTGACTTCTTTCAACAAATGGTTATCAGCAAACAAATTTATAAATAACCTCTAATGAAAATAAAATGATCTTTAACACCATTAAAATCTTTCTTAAGATTTTATTCAAGCGAAAATTGCATTCTTAATTTGTTTCAAGGCTAATTACCTTTTTCCATGGGCCTTATTTATTAAGATACTAGAAGCTTTTCTGATTCTAGTACTTAGCACATACCCTTTTAGGAAGTGGGGAAAGCTAATTTTGCCTTGTATGCTGCAGTTACTGCTCTGGCAGGCTCTGAAAAATATTCCTGCAGCAATGCTTTCTACCTTCTTAGACTTTTAGATATTATTTCCTCGACTTCCTTTGACTCTGAGGAATTTATTTTTATATAGATAAAAGGGAGCAAAGTCATGTGCAAATTCCAAATGAGATCTACTCACTAATCCCATTTTGGCAAATGAAGGGAATATTTTTCAGCGCCCAAAAGGATCACTGGAAATGTCTCTGTTGTTTCCACAGCAGAACTTTCAGAGAAAAGGAAGTTATAGAATAAATTTCTTGCACTGATTTTATTATGCTAAAGAAACTAGGACACCTTATATTTAATTCTATTACTGCCTTCTTTGTCCTACAATCCGTTCTTACTTACTTATTTACACTGAAAATTTAACAACAAATCTTAAATTAGTAAATACTGCCATGGTATTAACAATTCTTAGAAGACACTGCATATAAAAAATTGTTGTGGGTACACTACATAACAGAAAAGCTAATATACTATTATTGCTAAAAAAGAATGGATATCAGTAATTCAGTTGAAAATCTTTGCTACTTTAAATGGCCTAATGGATTTCTAATAAGAAATCCCATGGGAATCATCATATAATAACGCTATATGATCAGAGATACCGAGAACAAATTCTGCTTGATGCAAAGTGTGTGAATTAAATGATTTTTATAAGATCTCAGCACAGGTTCCAAAAACAATCTGTGGAGAAAGGATCTCAAATCTCAATTTAATTTTTTCTCCTAAGAAAATTCCAGAAAATCTGGAAAGTGACCTCTTGTAAATGAGTGCAGAATAATCTTAGTTCTTCCCACTTATTTGCATACAACACTATAGTTTTTATTATATGTTTACTTACAGTATCTTAACCAATAACAATATATCAAAAATCATAGAAACATTCATACATCTGTGACACTATTGTATAAGATTCGGTTGGCTATCAGAGAACTTCTACAGATGATGTAATGGTATAGGAGTGTTAGCTTTTCACCAAGAAACCTCCAGAATGACAGTTGAGAGTTTAACAGCTTCATACTTAACATCAGAGAAATTTGTAGAATATAACAAGGCATGCAGTGAAGATAAAGCTACAAGAGCAACTTCCCCATTAATTTCCTTTCTAAAACTTTGAGTCCCAATGTGAAAGAAAAATCACTTAGATATTTTTGGAGTTTGATACAGTACTACCATACAAAATATATTATAAATCTGGTTTTATACAAAAGGTACTAAAAAGGTACTAAAAGGTACTAAAAATTGCCTATAAATTTAGCTCATCTCCCTTTAACTGTATACATCTGTTTGAAAAAGTAAGAAATATATGCACAGAAAACAGACCAAGACAAAGACTGGATGTCATCAATCAGTGAAAAATAAATTAGAATTAAAACAAATCTACATGAGACTCACAGATAAGTTAAAAAAAAAAAAAAAGACAAACACGAACTCCTCCATTTGAAAAACAGATTTATCCTACAGTTGTGTTACAGTGTTTGCAATAGTCTGTTAAGCACAAAGAGATATACAAGCCTAACCTGATGGTTTATTTACAGCATTTCTCTTTTATACTCAGTTTTTAAAGTCATACATAAAACATATGAAGACTGAAAAGCATACTAGAAAGCAAAAAGAGTCCCCAACAATACCTTGACACAAGAAAATAGACCAAGTTCATAAAACAATCAAAAGCCATTCTTTTAGAATGTTTTTATTTAATTATTTTTAGTGTAATCATTTTTATGTTACACAAAACTCACTGGAAGATGAAAAACTGAGCCTCTCCAGGTTGAGCCAGCTCTAGTCAGGAGCTAGTATTTTGTGATGTTAGAGACTTCGAGACTTTAGCCAGTATCTTCATTAAATATATTCAAATATCTTTCATAGTACCTGGACGAAGAACACTCCCTTTCTGATACACTATGCACCTAAGACTCTCTCCCCTAGCAAAGGGGAGTGAGCCCTTAGCAAAATGACAGGACTAAAGACTCCTAAGAAAATCTCTTTTCACAACTAGAAGAAGCCAGAAGTATAGAACTACCACCACCTCCTTCTAGATTCCCAGCATCAATCCCCAAATCAAGTTCACATGAGAATGAAAAAGTACAGTACAAGATGGTCACCTGCCCATGTGAGACCTACCCCAATAGCCCTGGGCATATAGTATAAATCACCAATGTTTTAAGTAAAGAAAGGTGAATTTCCCCCCAAAAAAAAACCAACATTGTGTTACAGTTTATCAATATTAAGCAAGCAACACAACAGAGCTAAAAAGCAGGAGGGATATTTCTGTCAAAGATACACTGACAGATTAATGGAAAGACAACCAAAAATTTTGTTGTTCAGTTTAAACTTTTTCCTATGTCTTAAGGAACATAATGGGTTTAGACACAGAGTTCTCTGTTAATTAAAAAATATCTTAAGAATTCGAGTGATGCCTTTTCTATTTATAAATCCAGGTATTCATATATGTTAGAGATGCTGTGCAGCTCCAAGTGAAAATCAGTTCTCTTTCATCGGTCCATATAGTGTCATGATAAGCACAGACTTACTTGGTGTGAAAATAAAGCAAATACAAGAAGAAATGTCTCTTGCAGAACTTGGTATACAAATGTGGCATTTGGTGGAAATTTTGGCAGTGTAATACTATTTTGTGCTGTTACAATATAAAATGGTTTCAAACCTAATACTGAGTAAATGATAAATTAATTTGTATTTAACCTCTGCAAGAACTTGAATTTTATGCATACGTTAACTGCTTCTTTCATCATCCCTTCCTCCTGTGGCTTCCTATTCCAGTTTCTGTCTAATTTCACACCAAGAAGCAGAACTTGGTAGAGCTGCAAAGAAGAACATCTAGTGCCTGTGGGATGCAAAATCCTGAAGAGGACGTAAGACAATGCTGTGCTGTAGCCTCTCTCTCTTCCACAACCAACTACATGCCTATGGAAGTGAAGAGAGTACTACAGTTAAAAAGCTTAGGTGAGCAGCTCTTTCTGAGGCCTGCATTGAAGATGCAGAAGTAGTTCAGCACATGAAATAAATACAAGAACGTATCTCCTCCCAGATTTTAACTCTGCTTTCTCTTTAGAGAAGACACTGGTTTGTGGGATGAGCCTGGGAAAACAGGAGCGCAGTCCTTGAGCCCCAGCTGAATGCCGTAGGGACATGTAGTAGCAGGGGGAGGGATGCATAGAGCATTGGACACAGGTACTGATTTGGAGACAGTATTTGCAGTAGAAGAACGGAGCATTGTGTATCAGTTTGTGAGGCAGAAGGTATATGCAGACTGTGTGTCATCTTTCTGGGCGGATTTCCTGAACAAAAATATGTCCTCATGCTTTATGCAGCACATACATAGGAAAGAAGCATGCACAGAGAATAAAACATTTTGTGACGAGTCAAGGCTTACTGGGCATACTAATAACCCTTCTATGCAGGCACACAGCAAATATGCAGAGCATGGGCAGTTAAAGTTCAGCAGTTCCAGAAAGCTTTGGACTTAAAAAGCATTCACTGGACTTTTAACCACATAACTGCTTTTGAACGTCCAGGATTTCAGACACAAAACAGCTTAGCTGTAGTTTCTGTATTCAGAAATCCTGGAAAAAACAAAATATCAATTCTACTTAGACAATCTTACCAAGTAGAAAAAGAAACGTTTGAGAAAATCAAAAGCTGCCCATGAAGGATAAAAATGAACTTAATTTCCATATAATTTAAATTTTGTTTAAAAGCTGTCATAATTTTGGGAGGATTCCCTGCCTTCTCCACAAATTTCAAATTCTACTCCACTGTCCTGCTGCATGCTAAAGAAAATGTCTAACTATTGGGAAAGATCTCACCCTAACTGACATCCCATATTACTTTGTAATAAAAAAAAATCTTGCAAACACAAGGGAAAATGCTCACTTTGCATTTTGAGCACTGCAGAAGTACATCAGTTCAAGCATTTAGGATTGCTTCTCCCCCTTGAAGGTAGAGCCCAAGGGGCTAAATCACCCTGAAGAGTTAAATAAAGATTTTTAATGAAAAGTAAACCTTAAGAAAGATGTAAGGAACTATGATAAAATGTGTCTAAGATTCATTTAGGACTTTCTTTTTCTTCAGAGAATCTGCTCTTTCCCCTTCAGTTAGCATAGGA